CAACAGTCTCCGAGACCCCAGGGCCTTTGCATGCGGGGCTTCCTTGGCCTGCCCGTCCTTCCCTACTGGCCTGGCCAGGCACCTCCCCGACCCCCTGGGATGGTTTATGCATTTGTATTATAATTGCTTATCCTGTGAATGGCAGCATTCACATCCTGTGAATGGCCATTTCAAGGTATGTTCCCTCCTCATGTAGTCCTTCCCTTGCTTTTCCAGTTCCTACCACATCATTGCCTCAGGAGAGAGACAAGATAGAGCACAAAGCAAAACAAACACATAGAAAATAAAATAAAAGTCTGCAAGCATTAAGGCAGTGTGTTCCAAAGTCTAAACCCTTAGGGAGATGAATCTATATACAGCCCCATGGATGCTCGGGGGTGGGGGGCGGGGAAGAAACAGCAGGGAGATGCCTGTGGTGTTCCCTGGAAGTGGGCTGGAGAAGTGCCATGGACAGGGGAGGGACCGTATCCTAGGTAACTCTGACATTGGATGCCCCTAGGGACTGTAAGCAGGACACGTGAAGACTAGAAGCCCCCTCTCTCAAGACCTGGGCAATAACAGTCACATCTCTGGGAAATTAGTCTGGGACTATGTTCTGTAGCCTTAATGAACTGAAAATTGAGAACAGAAATCAAGTTGGGTTTTTAAGAAATGACATGGCTGTCTTGCATATTCAAGTTTATAAGATATGATTTATACTGGCCCCACGTGTCCAGATCAACCACCAAACCGTGAGATACTTGAAGGAAAGAAGTACATCTTTTTTAAATCTTTGATGTCTTGGTTCTTCACACCAGATGCTCAAGAAGCAGGAACTTGGCAGAGTGGACACTGAAAGGACCAATGTATGTATGTGCATTTGGTTGGTGTATGAATGGATGGATGGGTGAGTGGATGGATAGGTGGGTGGATGAATGGATGGATGAATTATGAATGGATGGATGGATGGATGGATGGATGGATGGATGGATAGGTGGGTGGATGAATGGATGGATGAATTATGAATGGATGGATGGATGGATGGATGGATAGGTGGGTGGATGAATGGATGGATGAATTATGGATGGATGGATGGATAGATGGATGGATGGATGGATGGATGGATAGGTGGGTGGATGAATGGATGGATGAATTATGGATGGATGGATGGATAGATGGATGGATGGATGGATGGATGGATGGATAGGTGGGTCGATGAATGGATGGATGAATTATGAATGGATGGATGGATGGATGGATGGATAGGTGGGTGGATAAATGTATGGATGAATTATGAATGGATGGATGGATGGATAGGTGGGTGGATGAATGGATGTGTGTGTGTGTGTGTGTGTGTATACATATATTCAGGTGGATGGATAGACGGATGGGTTGATGGAAAGCTGGGTGGATGAATGAACTGAACCCTTTCTTCATGGGGATGCCTGCTTCAAGACAACCAAAGAAGGATCTTAGGGTGAGGGGAGATGTGGTCGGAGAATGAGATACAATGGAGCCAAAAGCAGTGGAAACACAAGAAGTTTACTTGAAAGCTTCCAGAAAGGTCTCAAGCAGTGTTTCCTAACTTTTTTGGGGTCACTGACTCCTTTGAGAACACAAGTCAAGCTCACTCTTGCCATGGAAATGCATATACCTACAGTTTTGCATAACATTCCAGAGTTAATGAAGTCACACATGGACTCCTCACATAGCACTTAACATACTAAGCTGTAATTGCCAATTTGCTTATCTGTCTCCTGTCGGGACTGTGCACTCTAGAAAAAGCAGCATCTCCTTTGGCGGGGGCGGGGGGTGGTGGTCTGTGGAGCCAGTTAAATCACATCGCTGCAGAGCAATGAACTTGCACGATCACCTGTCTTTCCCCAGCCTCTGGGAACTACGGATGGCTACCCTGGGCCCAATTTTCATCCCCAGCTCTCACTTCTGTTTGGAAGGGCAGCTGGTGAGGGCTGGGCTGAGAGAGTTTCCTCCATCTGCTGGGGACAGTGGCAGGAGCAGCTGGGAAGGAAACACACGGATGGGTCTTCTCACTCATGGTCAAGAGTGGTTTAAAAATGTTTACCTACTGATTAAGGGTGGAAACCAATTTCAGTTGCCGTCCCAGACTCGCCATTAGCATGTAAACACCGTCCTGGATCCGGGCAGCCATTAGCATAATAGCCAAGCAAGAGTTATATCAGTAATCACTTCTTTAATCAATGTTGTAATTTACAGACCATTGACTTTCCTCATTTATTACCTTCCTGAGCTCTGGTGGGAGGGAACGCGGCTGCTCCAGAATATATAAATAATTAAGAGGAACGCCAAGGGTATCGAGTCGCGGTGCATGATAGAGCCATTGTCACTGCTAATCCTGCAGGTGTCATAAATGTCTGGGGAAGTCTCGGGATGCATTCATCATCTCCTAAGTGGCTACAAGTGAGAACCACAATATCGCAAAATGAGCCAGCTTAGCTGCCGAAAAAAAAAAAAGGAACCGAAAACCCAAAGGAATCTTTTCAGTCCCTTGGCTTCATTTGACACTCTTTTTCATCTTTCATGGTGGATGGGCCTCCCGCTGAGAAAGCTGCCCGCTGGCCTCTGCTCCCTCTGACCTTTAAAGTATCCAGTTTGAACACATCATGGCCACTGAACCGGCCACTGATGTCTGCTCTTGGCACCCGGAGGGGCCAGCATGGGTCTGGTTGAGCAGCACATGGTCAGTTGGCATCTTCTGTTGTCATTTGGGCCTTGGCAACTTCCCGGTGACGCCACCTTTCTGTTGGGAGCCACTTGGGGACCACTTTCCACGGGGAGAGTAAAGCCATCTGCTGGTCACATTGGCGTCCAACGCGACTGTTGTCTGAGAAAGTAGCCAAGCAGGTTCTCAAACTTGAGCGTCAAGAGGGTGGGTCAACACACAGACTGTTGGACCCACCCCCAGAGTCTCACATCCCGGTGGGGCCCCCACCTCTGCGTCTCTATCAAGGTCCTGGGTGATGCTGACTTTCCAAATCTGGGGACCACGCATGGAGACTCACTCCTTCAAATAGTGCGATTGGCCTTCTTCCATTTCCACAGCATCTTCTATCTCCT